AAAAAAACCACGAAGTCAGGCCAGGTGCAGTGGCTCACGTCTGTAATCCTAGCATTTTGGGAGGCCCATGGAAAGGAGGGTCTGGACAGGCACAACAGCTTCTCCTTTGTCTTTCTGCACCCTGGTCAGAAGGCAAATGAAAGACTGGATGGTGCTTTGATACCAAACCTCCCGAGATAGTTGGCAGCAATGTTTAAAGTCTAGGCTTCATAAAACAGCCCTTCAAGATACAATGATAAGTAACTTTAGCAACTAACATTTTATTAAGCACATGATATATGCCAAGTACTTTCTCTGATTTAAGAGATCCCTATCTCTTATGTCTCATTATGTTGCCCAGGTTGGAGTGCAGCTGCTATTCACAGGCATGATCATCGCACACTGCAGCCTTGACCTCCTGGGCTCCAGTGATCCTCCTGCCTCAGCCTCCTGAGTAGCTAGGTACTCATCACTGCACCTAGCTCCCAGCACTTTCTTTCCTTTCTTTCTCTCCCCCCCTCCTTTGTCTCCTCTCTCTTTTTTTTTTTTTTTTGAGACAGAGATATCTCACACTGTCGCCTGGGCTGGAGTGCACAATGGCACGATCTTGGCTCACTGCAACCTCCGCCTCCAAGGTTCAGGCAATTCTCCTGCCTCAGCCTCCTGAGTAGCTGGGATTACAGGCACGTGCCACCATGCCCGGCTAATTTTTTTTTCTATTTTTGGTAGAGATGGGGTTTCACTATGTTGGTTAGGCTGGTCTTGGACTCCTGACCTCATGATCTGCCCACCTTGGCCTCCCAAAGTGCTGGGAATACAGGCGTGAGCCGCTGTGCTCGGCCATCTCTTTTTTTGTTTGAGACAGGGTCTCACTCTGTTGCCTAGGCTGGAATGCAGAGGCATGATCTTAGCTCACCACCGCCTCGACTTCTTGGGCTCAAGCAGTCCTCCCACCTCAGCCTCCTGAGTAGCTGGGACCACAGGCATGTGTCAACATAGCTGGCTAATTTTTGTATTTTTTGTAGAGATGGGGTTCCACCATGTTGCCCAGGTGAGTCTTGAACTCCCGAACTGAAGTAATATGCCCGCCTTGGCCTCCCAAACTGCTGGGATTACAGGTGTGAGACCATGAGCCACCGTGCCTGGCATCTGCGCACATTCGTCTTATTTTGAGACGGAGTCTCGCTCTGTTGCCCAGGCTGGAGTGCAGTGACGTGATCTCGGCTCACTGCAACTTCCACTTCCCAGGTTCCAGCGATTCTCCCACCTCAGCCTCCCAAGTAGCTGGGATTACAGGCACCCACCACCACGCCTGGTTAATTTTTTTATATTTTTAGTACGGACGGGGTTTCACCATTTTGGCCAGGCTGGTCTCGAACTCCTAACCTCAAGTGATCTGCCTGTCTTGGCCTCCCTAAGTGCTGGGATTATAGGTGTGAGCCACCGCACCCAGCCTCCAAGCACATTCTTATGTTAATCCTCGCAATAACCATATGAGAAAGAAACTTAGAATCCCATTTTAGAGATGAGGATACTGGGCCACAGCCTGGTTAAATAACTTTCAACGAGGTCACAGATTTGGCAAACTGAGAATCTCAAGACAATTCCCGCACCCGTGCTCTCAGCCACTACGCTACACTGCCTTCCAGCAAATTCCCCTCTGTATTCTCTCTGAGCCGGCCTTTCCATCTCACAGGTGGAGGCTCCCAATGCCGATGAAGATCTGCTGGTACTGCTCTAGGACCAAGGGCCTCAGGGCCACCTGGGACCCTCAACGGTCAGAGAGCTCATGTCCTGGAGGGAAACCAGGCAGCACTCACATCCATTCTTAGGGTGCTGTCCTGAGAGCTCTGTCACCAGCCTACTGAACAGCCAGTCTGTTCCCCTAGGGAGGGGGTCAGGAGGGTTCGCTAGGAGAGCCCACCTCCTCCCGCATGGAACTCACTTATTGAAAATGGAGAAGTCAAAGTTCCAGCCCAGGCAGCGGATGACTCGGTCATAGGGCACGCGCATGGCAAAGTTGTCATTGTCGTCCTGGGGGAGGGTGATGGCGTCGGCACTCTGGTTGGTGCTGGCTTCTTCCAGGAAGAATTTCAGGGTGACATGGAACTTGCCTTTGCTATCCTTCAGGATGGCCAGATCCCTCAGGTCAGACTCGAGCAGCCCATCCAGGGACTTCAGCTGGTAGGTATCCAGCAGGCCATTGTTGATGGCTCTGGGCCCCCAGAGAATGCAGGGAGAGAGACTCAGAGGAAAGCTGGGCAGTGCAGCTGGGGTCAGGAAGGGCAGGGGAGGGCTGGGGAGGCTCTTTCCACACTCTGGACTCCCAGCACAGAACACACACGCAGGGATGTGGCCTACCTGAGGTCTCCAACGTAGTGGGTGGCCCAGGACAGACGGACCCGGGAGCGGCTGAGCATGTGGATAAAGTTTGTGACACCCAAGATGTTCTCTGCCGTCTCAAAGGCTGAGTTCCCACGGCCCAGGATCAGCACATTCTGGCCTATAAAGTCCTCAGGGTCTGTGGACACAGTCTCGTAACCCTCCACGTTTTCAGAGCCAGGGAAGTCAACCTGGTTGGGGACTGATAAGCCAGTGGCTACAAGGAGGACGCTGCAGGCAGGGACAAAGGAAAGATGGCTTAGTCTCTTGGCTATAAGGTCACTTAGTGAAAACCACTCCCCCCCTGGACCCACGCACCCACCTGCCTCACTCCAACCACTGGCCGCTAAAAGAAAATAGGACATTCATTCATTCATTTGTTAATTCATTCATTTGTTTACGCCCTCACTCCAGTGCACTTGAGAGGCTCTGCCCTTGCCTCTCCCTGAGCTCACAGTATTTTCCCTAGCACTGTACCGGGGGTTAATTTTGCTCTGTGAGAGAGGAGAAGATGACATTATGAGAAATGGAGAATTCACCTAACTTTGCACACAACAGTCAGACCAGGTATCACCCTTGGTGATGAAAGGAAACCTGATGTTCTACTTTCCCCTTTCTGAGTTCTCTGACGGATGCATCTATCTACTGAGCAGTAATTCTGTACCAGGCCCTGTACTAAGTGTATCTGGGCACCATCTTACTGACTCCTCCAAGCAACCTGGAGGTGGTACATGGCCTGCTTTACAGGTGAGGAGGC